ACTGGTATCAAGCTTTACCTATAGCATGAGTCAGAATGAAACTCCGAATGATGTGGTATATGTTAAGAATTTTACAGGAAATCCTCTACAGGAGTAGTGGGATGGACTCTTCCAGGTGCTCCTAACAACTTTTACTGTGATCCAGATAAAGGAGAGACCTACCTGGATCCACTACTCCAAAGTAAAGAAGTCATCGACACCCAGATGGAAAGACTGAGCAGATATGGAACTGATGTATATTCTGATCTTCTTAGGGCCTTTTGAAAAGATAAAGCCCTGGGAGCACAATATACCCTTGTCTCCAGTCCAGAATATTGCACAAATTTTGAATGAGACAGATTGTTGGGTTTGTATGGAATTCTCTAGAAACCAAGATAGCTACCTCACTTTAATAGGGCTACCCTTGCCAATCAATCATTCATGGGCTAACTTATGGTTACAAACAAACTTGATTAACTATTCTTTGAGCTACCATCCCTTGGAAGTCATCCACCCTAAGGCAAGCCACAGTTCTAGATATGCAAACTGTGTGTTCCAGTCCAAATTTGATTCAATTAGAAAATGAAAAGACAATCTAGGAGAATACCCTAATTGTAATAACAGTATCCAAATTTCTGCTGGCAGTCACTCTGGATGGTGGCCTGCACCAAATAGGACAGGGTAGTATTGGCTGTGTGGTAACAACACAGCCTTAAAAGCTTTACCACATTATTGGGAAGGAAAATGCACATTAGGTGCTGTAGTACTCCAGGTACACATAACTAAACAAATTGGAACAGGATGGGTGCAGTCATATTTGAAACAGATAAAACAGACAGAAAACCCATTAGTAGTATGAGGTACTGGAATCCACAGCTTTGTTAGATGGATATTTCTGAGGTTGGGGGTAAGTGAACTGGAAAAATTACAGTGAATATTTCAGAATTAAGAGAGAAAATTGAAATTGAGACAGAGGATGCTACTAGAGCTTTGCAGATTGAAGTATCCAGCCTCTCCAAAGTAGTTTTACAAAACCGAATGGCACTGGACAGAGTATTAGCTTCCCAGGGCAGAGTATGTACCGTGATTAATACTAGCTGCTGCACCTACATAGATCAAAGTGGTAGAATAGATACAGACAATAAAAACAGATGGGAAAGGACCAAGATATTCCACACAATTAGTCAAAGTGATACCTCTTGGGGATTTGAACAAGTATGGAACAAATTGACAGGATGGCTTCTGAACTTGCAGTGGCTGAAACAATTGTTTGTGGTTTTGGTTGTAATCATAGGGTTATTGATTCTGTTATGTGTGGGTTTTCGTTGTTTTGTTTGGTGTAGCACGCGATCAACTAACACATACGAAGCTTGGAAAGGAAATAAGCTGCAACATGCCTTGGAAAGAGGCAAATACTTTCAGCAAACTTTGATACTTTGTTGTAATTAAAAGAATTGACTTAGTACTTAGAAAGGAATTGATACCAAGAAGTGGACTGAAAGCAGGAATTGAACAGTTAAAGCTGAAAGCATAAAGAATAACTTTACTAATTGCACTATTTCAGCTTAATTAGCAAAATAGCAAGGATTGCATAGTACAGACAAGAAGCTTCACTAATGGTATTGGTTTGGCTTGGTTGGCGAAATGATGCACCTTATCTATAAGGCAGTAGAACTAACTAGACTCAAACCTTGGCAGTAGGAGGAAACCTAAGACCATATAAGGTGTGGAATGAAGAAACAAAATGTACAAGATAGAGGCAAGGTCAGCAAGGCATGCAAAGCTGTACAAAGGGGTAAACGGTTGCACAATAAGGGTGCCCAAAGGGTACTGAGGAAGAGGAGACACTTCATCTTCACGACCACCAGGACCATGGGACTGATGCCAGGAGGGAGGAGACCGAAGAGGAGTATATGATAATGATTTCTGAGAACTAATTATAATAATAATCACTCATTCCTGGAAATAATGAACACAAATGAGCATTTAGTGTATATAAACTGTGAAGTTTTTGTCCCTGGTGGCACAAGTTTGGTGGAGCGATCCCCCTTGTGCCCAGTGCTGAATAAACAAATACCTGCTACTCAGAGAGACAAGTCTGTGAGTCGTTCTTTTCCAGCCTTTTCTTGGCATCAAAAGCACTGGGGCTGGAGACTGCACCTCTCTCTGTTGGTCTGTCTAGCCTCCTCCCCTCTAGAGTAGGATATTAACATATCACTGCACACTTTTGAGGTATACCAGCATTACTCTTTCATTTATTTGTTCTTTTAAAAAATAAAAGCAACCATTTTCTTGCAATTATAACTTCTGATCTCTTTAAAAAACTAGCGATCGCAGCACCTGCACAGCAGAGAGGTCATTATTACTAGTTTCTGTGCTATACCAGGAAAAGTAATTTCCATCATGTTATGCACACATTTTTCAAACACAAAAACCCAAACATTTCAACACTTACTTTTGTAGTCCATAGTCTGCATTATATGCTGAGGAAACCCAGGAATATTTATCACATACCTCTTACCACTGTACCCTGGTGTACAGCAGTTTTCACCTTGCACAGATTTTTGGGGCAATTGCAATTGCCCATGAAAACTAACAGGGTTTGGAAGATGCTAGTCTGACAGTAACAGTGGAAGAATTGTAACATCTCCAGGTCACTGCCTCTCCTTCAGAATTCTGACCATTTGTATCTTCAAGAACAAAAGATTCATTCCTCCCTTAACATCAATGCCCTTTGTGGAAAAAAAGAGCAAACCAAACCAAGAGAATAAAACAAAACAAAACAAAACAAAAAACCTAAAAAAACCCCACCACCAAAAAACCCAGCACTTCTGACCATAACAAGTTACTTTCTAGCAGAAACTCCCAGTCTCATTTGGCAGCAAACACTCAGTCACTATTTCTAAAACAAGATACTCAAAACCCTGTGGAACACCAAGGGCTACATGGAACATGTCAGGGTAACAAATAAACCACACAAGAAATAAGGAGAAAAAGACTTCAGAAGATAACCAGGAAATAGAAGAAGGGTCATTACTCCCATGAGAGAGATTCGGTCATGCTCTTGGCTGCTTGGTATGAGAGCCTAGATGCAATCACCATTTCAGACACCATGACAACACAGGCAGTACAATGTCTTCCATCTGGAAAAGGAAAAAAACATGATCCACAGATAACTTGCCTTTTATTTCACACCAGTTGCTGTGTTCATGCGTGTCCTCATAGGATATTCATTCTGTACATAGATATTTTCACTGCCCACATTAACAAAGTCATTCAGACTGTTTAGCTCATCCTCTCAGGCCAAGAGCTAAACAAAGAGCAAGCACAGAGTGACTGATGTACATTGGAACAGGTCAGACCAAGAGACACAACCAGGTACAAACAGATGCTGCTGAACTGTTGGTGCTCCTTAGCATCTGTTGCATCCTGTTACAGTCACAGGCAAACACATTTCTGCTGCACAACATCTAACAGCATCCAGTCCACACACATCACTACTGAAACAGAATTCAATTCAGTACCATTTCCGAAGGGCAGTGCATACCTGCCTAGGCAAACATGAACCTGTCAACCCTCCAGAGGACTCTCCTGCTCCATGGAGGTATGACAGCTTGCTCAGAGATGCCTTAACTTAGAGATGCATTGCCCAATACTGAATATTCACAGCAGCACCTTGTAAACCTTTATGTTTTCTGATGAGACTGAAATACTTCATTGCCTTCCCCACAACTCAAAGCATCCCAAAAGCACATTCAGATTTCAGTTCTGCTCCCCACCAAGACTCAGATATGTCAGCTCCCCAGTGTTTTTCACAGCATGTAACTCTTCACAAAAATGGCTTTCTGGATAAAGAGGTATTTTAAATAACTTAATCATTATAGAAGTAACATCCATCCGATGGCTGCATCTAACAGTGTATCCAATAACTCAGGAAAGACTTCAGACTTCTTGGAAAAGGCCTCAGGTTTGAAAACAGCCAAGATTCCAAAAGATTCAGGCGAGTGCTGGAATAAAATACTGAAGAGAAACATCCTCATGGAGCAAGACGAAATGGACAACTCTGTTACTTACAATGTCTGTAAAGAGAAAAAAAGAAAAAGAACCACACAAATCCAGCTTAAAGCAGGAAAAACAGTTTAAAATCACATCTTTGGCAGAATGCCACCATAAGAATACAATGCTTCCCTCTGACAGAAGGATGACTAGACATATCATCAGGATACTTAAGTCCTTGAGAGTCTCTGAAGCATTAATTGTCTGGTCAAGGAAAAAAGGAAATATGTAATGTATAGGTTTATAATATAACCCATTATTTAAATCTTCCTTGGGAAATTCTTAGCATCTGCACTAAATCATAAGACATAGGTGTTCTCATGAAAAGCATACACAGTTAGCAAAACAGGCCACATAGGCTTCTGCTCGAAGGAACATATTTATTCTGTGGCTAGAAGCACTAGCTGCATAAAAAGCATTTTTTACATTTCAATGTAAGAAAGCATCGGAAGGAAAAAAACCACAAAAAAAACCCCCCACATCAGTAAATTCCAGTTTCTCCAGTAGAAACTAGGGGCTTTAAGACTTTCGAAAAATAGTACCTCAAAATAATTTAAAAAAAAAATTCAAACAAAGACAACAAACAAGAAGACACGTGCTTAGTCAGTCTGAGCATTCAACTTGATACATTGTGCTGGTTTGAGCTGCAGTAGAGTTAACTTTCTTCACAGAGGCTAGTATGGGGCTATGTTTGGGTTTTGTGCAGAACACAGAGTTGATAATGCAGAGATGTTTTTGTTATTGCTGAGCAGAGCTTACACAGAGTCAAGGCCTTTGCTGCTTTCCGTACTGCCACGCTGGCAAGGAAGCTGGGGATGCATGGGAGATTGGGAGGAGACACAGCTGGGACAGGTGACCCAAACTGACCAAAGGGTTGTTCTATACCATATGACATCATGCTCAGTATATAAGGTGGGAGGAAGAAGGAGGAAGGGGGGACATCTGGAGTGATGGCGTCTGTCTTCCCAAGGAACCGTCACGCGTGATGGGCCCTGCTCTCCTGGAGATGGCTGAACACCTCCTGTCTTCGGGAAGCAGTGAATTAATTCCTTGTTTTGCTCTGCTTGTGTGTGCAGCTTTTGCTTTCTCTATTAAACTGTCTTTATCTCAACCCATGAGTTTTTGTAGCTCTTACCCTTCTGATTCACTCCCCCATCCCGCTGGTGGGGGAGTAAGTGAGCAGCTGCGTGGTTCTTGGCTGCTGCTGGGGTTAAACCACAACATACATATATAAGGGCCTGACGTATTTCACTTTTTTCTTCCCCAAATACCCAAGGCTTGAAGCTTAAAATATATGCCTAAAATAAATGCCTAAAAATATAAATATTAAAAGTCCTCGGGTACAGTAAAAATAGTCAAGTTTCAAACAGACAGAAGATATGCCGCTCTGCTGAGACTACAAGCATGGCAAACATCCCTCCTTAGCTGGAGTTCACAAGCAGAGCTGTTGAACTTACTGCACAATGCTTTTGTAGGATTGACCTGCTGCCCAGCAAGCAGCTGCTGCAGCTTCCTGATGTCTATGCGTGCCTCGGCCATACTTTCCACATCTCTGCCTTCTGCAGAACTTTGACATCCATCCTCTGATGCTAAAAAGCATAAGAACACAACACTTAGTCAAAATGTAAGAAGAAGTTTCAACATCTATAAGGACACACCTGAAAACTGATGAACTGCTAAAACTTGGATGGCTTGCTTTTCAGGAACAGCAGTACAGGGAAAAGAAAGCCCAGTTTTCCTACAAAGCTGTCAAGAATGGAAAAAATCCCCCTCCCCCAACATGAAACAGCTATTAGTCACTTTTTCATGTAAGATTTCATTTGAACACTTTAAAGTACTTGATGCTATTTTCTAAAGAAGAAAAGGTAAGTACTGTTACCAGCATCACACTTAAGTAATGATTTCAGACAGACACAAGAGGCACCAAACAGGGAAACTTACCCCAAGGAGGATTTCCCAGGTCTTTAAAATGTGTTGTTACAGATACTAAGTCAGTTTCTATTTTCAAGTTCATCTCTCCACTAAAGTTTGCTTCAATCACCTGAAATATAATCAATCTGAATTTTAGGCAAGCCACTTTCAAACTGCAGAACTACAGAAGAATGCAGTTCAGTTTTGTTCAAATCCAAGCTTCCAGAAGCACTTCAGTGCATTCCCAGGTCAAGCATACTTTCTGACCATGGTCCTCACGCTTGAGATCATAGAATTATAGAATCAGCTGGGT